TTTTGTCCATTTGTTTTTGAGATAGGGTCTCACTATGTAGCTCAGGCTGGCCTCAAACTCCCAGTGATCCTTCTGCCTCAGTCTCCTGAGTGCTGGGACTACCGGCCTGTGCCACCACGCCTGGCCTCAATGACTTCGATGTTTTAACTGTGACATTCATTAGTCTAACACTCAACATATCCGAGGAGGGCGCCCTGCAAACTCTGAATAGGTTCCATTGGCATTTGGACACACCTGACTTTGGTTGGTGTTGGTACTGGCTTCCTTCTAGCTGCCAATGGCCATCCAGTGTCTGAGCTAGGGCTGGGCATGACATGGGCACTGCTGGGGAGGGGGGATGCTGGCTAGGGAGGATGCTTGAGCAGGCCTGAGGCCTCAGAGGTCAGGGGTCAAATAGAGCTGACCAGGGGTCACCTTGAGCAGAGAGGTGCGGGGTACGCAGAGCAGGTTCACAGCAATGGAGAGTTTCCGGAAGAACTCAGTAGCAATGTCGGCCAGCCCAGCCCCCTGCAACCAGTCCAAGACAAGGTCCAGGTTGGTGCGGATCTGGACAGCTCGGGACCACTGGTAGAAAGGTCGGCTTTGACCTGTGAGGGAAAGGAAAAAGGACAGGACGATGGGTGGGTGAACCATGTTTCTGCCTCCCAGATGCTTCCTAGCCTGGAGTTTGGGACCAGAACCTTGTTCCCCAGAGGAGCCGAAGGGGCTGCCTGAGCCTGTGCAGTGTCAGCAGATGTGGCTGCCCTGGGAGCTCCCGTCTTTGCATCCCTGTGCCTCCCGGCCTAACCCTCACCTCGTTCCATCAGTGAATTGAGAAGGGATGCATTGGAGAAGAAGAACAAGTAGCCGAAAGTCTGAGACACGAGGTCCGGATGCAGTTCACACTGACTGGTCAGTTCCAGGGCTGCCTGGAACACGCCCAGGGTGGGCTTCAAGCCTGGGGGCATGGCCCCCAGCTCCGAGCCAGGGCCTGGGAGCTCCGCCCCAGCTGTGAAGGGGTTGCTGTCCAGGAGAGCAGGCAATGTTGAATAAAGAGTCTGAGGAGATTCAGAGGCAAAAACATTAGTGACTGTACCACACTCCCTGGAAATTCCAGAGTGGTAGAGCTTAAAGACTTCTGGGAGTTGTAGTCCATTCTACCTTCCCCTGACAGGGTTCCTCAAGCAAATCCCCAGTTTGTACAAGGGTTTCTAGCACTTATTGCCCTGGACCAACTTAAATCTTAAGAAAGAATTTCTACAGCTGGGCGTGGTGGCGCATGCCTGTAATCCCAGCACTTGGGAGGCTGAGGCAGGAGGATTGTTGTGAGTCTGAAACCAGCCTGGGCTACAAAATGAGCTCAAGGTCAGCCTGAACTGCATAGCGACTAAACTGCATAGCGAGACCCTGTCTCCCAAAGACCAAAAAAAAAAAAAAAAAGAATTTCTTAGCTGGGTTTGGTGGTGCATACTTGTAACCCCAGCACTTGGAAAGCTGAAACAGAAGGATCACTGTGAGTTCCAGGCCATCCTGGGCTACACGGTGGTTTAAGGCCAGCCTGAACTACACAATGAAACCCTGTCTCAGAAAAACAATAAAACAAAACACCAAAAAAAAATTTCTAGGGCCAGGGATGTAGCTCAGTGGCACAAGCACCTGCCTGGCAAGCACAAGGTCCTGAGTTCAATCCCCAGTACCAAAAGAAAAAAGAATTTCTAGAAGTTTCTGCAGTACTTTAATACCACCTCTTTTTTTTTTTTTTTTTTTTGTGGTGGGGTACCAGGAATCAAACTCATGACCTCGAACTTGCCAGGCAGGCGCTTGTGCCACTGAGCTATATCCCTAGCCCCAAGACCACCTCTCATGCATTATGGCACTTATAATTCTCAGCAGAGACAGCTCAAGGAGGACCAAATATATTGGAAAAAGAAGCCCCCTTTGGTCAAATATTTATCCAGAATTCTCCAAGGAAAGAAAAAGAATGGAGGACAGTCAGGAAGTGGGAGTGGAATGGCAGTTAGCTAGTGGAAAGTGAGATCAGGCCAAGGACAGGAAATGAGATCAGAGACAAAAGAAATGATACTGCACTTGGCACAGATGAACAGGAAGTGAAGCCTCAGAGGAACAAGCTTCCCAGTGAGTCTGCTCAAAGAATTTAGAGGCTATGTCTCCCACAAAATCTCCTCTTATTTTACAGAGAGGAGCCCACCATAAGCCAAAACGTCTGGGAAGTAGAAGAAGCAATATTAAGGTCAAAGATGGTAGTAGGGAAACACCCTACAGGAAGAGCACTCAGGGAGTTTGAGGCCTGAGGCTCAGAAAAGGGAGTGAATTCAGAGTTCCGGGAAGTGAGGTCAGCAAGCACAGGAAGTGAGACCTGATTAAAGAGGACCTTTGAATTAAGTGACTGTGCCTGGCACTATTTGATTTCTCTATATGTTTATCTATATAATTTATAATAAGACTTAGAAAATGAGATTAAATGGTAATGGCAATACAACCTCTTAATGGTAAAGAGGTCAGCCTGTCAAGATGTCATGATTGCAAAGACAGGAAGAGACTGCAAAAAGGCAGGAAGTGATGTAAGTTCAAAAAGGAAGTGATGTCACAACACTGGGTTGAGATGGGAAGTGATGTCACAGAAGGGAATTTTGAGTTATAGGAAGTGATATCAGACTAGCACAATGTAGTATAAACAGAAAGCGAGATTGTCTCAAACAGAAAAGAAAGGAGAAAGGCCAACCTTGGTGAGGTAGTAAACAGACTGCTGGAAGGTACACATGATGACCTCATCCAGGAGGGCCATAGCCTCGTCACATAATTCCAGGTCATTGCAGAGCTGTGGGTCTGATGACAAGCCTGGGGTAAGAGATAGAACCAGAAAAGGCTCTGGCAGCCAAGAGCCCAGGTCCAGGTCCAGGAAGTGACAAGGGCTGGGAAAGGCCTGGGCCTGGGTCAGAGCTCACCATCCTGGTCAGCTTCCTTCTCCATTTCCAGCACCTTCTCCTGCACAAAGCTCAACAGCTCTGTGGTGTTGGCCATCCACAGCATGAGTGGCCGCAGCTCCACAGACACAGCCTCAGGAGTCAGGGGCACCTCAGGGACTCCTTCCGTGTGGCTGAAGGAAAGAAGAGGACCTGTGACCCTAACCGCCATCATAGTCTGCAGACCTTAGATCTGGGCTTAAATGTGGACCAAGGGCACCCTCATTTCACAACTGGGAGAGCTGAGTCTCAAGGAGGCACAGCAACATGCACCCACACATGCAGGGAAAGAACTTGGACCTGGATGCATACTCTCCCCCTACATCACCCCAGATTTTTCTGCCCAGGATATGTCTTACTTCTCTGGCTGACGGTCTCCAATTTCCTTAATCTTTTCCTGTGGAACAGTAAGATCAGAATCAAGATGAGGAAATCGAGGAAAGTGAGGTTCATGAGTTAACACCCTGGTTTTCTCTTCCTTTTCTTTTTCTTCCAGTACTGGGGATCGCCTTTCAATTTTTTGTTAATATATGTTTGTGATATATCCTGAGTGATTATACTGAGCTTGGATTTGAGATAGACATCTACCTATCTATCTATCTATCTATCTATTTCTTGACTAGTTTCACCCCCCCCCTCCGATTTTTTTTTAAAGATAGTGTCTCTCTAAATTGCTAAATTACTGAAGCCGGGCTTGAATTTGTGATCCTCCTGCCTCAGCGTCCAAGAGTTCTGGGATTACAGGCGTGTGCCACCACAGCCAGCAACATTTCTGAAGAAGACTGTCCCCACTTTTCAGGCGGCCTCCGATCCTCAAGCTTCACAGTGATCTCTGTCTCACCACTGCAAATACACACGCCTATGTTCCTGAGAGGGCTAGCTCCCTCCAGTCCTCTTTGGTGTTTCTTTACCCCAAAGAAACTCCCTACATCTTCTCTGACTCGGGACCTAGCTCAGTAGGATGGAAGCTTCCTCCCCACTTTGAATGACTTCTGGCACTGCCATATGTAGGCCAAGAGACCCACGTTACAAGCATGGTCTCGTCTGCACTGCACAGCCTCTCATAATGGTCTCTCCCAACCAATCCCCCCCCGCCACTTCCCAGAATGGTTCCTTCCAGGATTCCGCATCTCCAAAGGCCGATACTGCCCTCTCTTTTAGTGCAGTGGACGAGTCCACAACTCCCAGCATCCTACGGGCCCCCTCCCCGAGGCATCACGGGAAAGGTAGTTTCTCTCGCTTGCCGTGTCCGAAGCTGGGGCAGATGGTGGGGCGGGGAGGCTGCGGCAGAGACTCGGGGAGCAGGTGGGGCTGGGCGGCGGTGGGGGGCGCTCACCCAGACGACCTCCTTGATGAGCCGGGCCAGGCGGCCCAGCATTCGCGGCAGGTGGCCCAGCTCCAGCTCGCGGGCGGAATGCTGCACGCACAGCGCGAGCAGCGTGGCGGGCCCGAGCGGTGGCAGGGCCCCGG